GAATTTATACCTTAACCCCAAATGAAATTCTGGATTTTAATCAAAATAGTGACATGATCTAGCTAAGCCCTTAAAGATGACTTTGATTTCTGTGTTGAGATTAAAATGTGGAATGAGATGGTGGGAAAAGTGAAAATAGGGAACTCAATTAGTAGGCTACTACAATTTTTAAAAACGATGTTTTGGACCAGGATGCTGGCAGTGGAGGTATAAGTGGTAGTAAGTGTAGAGTATGAGAGAAAGGGAAAAATGAAATAATTATACCAGGAGTATGCTTTGAACAACCTGAAGAATTGGTATGCCATTTCATAGGTAGAAGAAAACCATTTGGTTGAAGGAGATAAAAAGTTTGACTTTAAACATTACCAGTTAAACCATTTATCAGGTATTCAAATAGAGTTATCAAGTAAGATGTTCAATATATGAGTCTAGAATTCAGAGGAGAGGGCATGGCTAAGGAAGTTAATTCTGCTGTTGTCAATATACAAAGTCTGGCAGAAGTAAGTCTTGAGTGTGGTTAATAGGGTAATAATATAGGTGTAGTAATTTATAGTTTTAATTTGAACACTTAGCCTAAAATGTCATATGGTGTGCTTGAGAGTGATATTATGCTACAGAATTACATGCTTATGATTTTGTAATATATTTTTTAATTAAAAAGGGGTGTTATTTGTGCCAAACCCTGTATATGTGGAATTCAAAGCCATTAAGCTGGATGAAATTACCAGTGTAGGCAGCATGGGTGTAAAAAAGGCTATGAACTGAGCCCTGGTGCCCTCCTCTAATTAGAAGTCATGGAATAAGGCAGAACCAACAAGAAAGGCTATGACAAAATGGCCAGTCAAATAGGAAGAAAACCAAGTGAGTGTATTATCAGTTCATATGGTGAAACTGCAGCATACTAGAATGCTGAAAGCAACAATCCAGGAGAAAGGGGAAACTTGGGATACAGGTAGAGAGATGTGACTTGCTGGAGGGATGTCTCTGATTAGGTAAGAAAGTGTAGGATTAGGATTTTAGAAAGTGTGTTGGTCTAAATAGGGATGGGCATTTTATTCATAGTAGCAGAAAAGAAAGCAGTAGGTAGCATAGATACTGAGAAATAGGTATGGTAGTGAGCAGTTGCAGAGGTTCTCTTTTGAAGGACAGACAAGGTCACAGGAAAAGAAAAGAGAGAAGGTCAAGAAACTAAGAGATCATGGTAAATATTATAATCACCAATAATTAAGATAGGAGTAGTGCTAAAATGACAATTAGTGAGGGGCTAAAACCTTTAAAGAATAAGAAGGAGCCTTCAAGGTTTACCCCTACAATAAGGAATAGTGGTATTATGGTCAGAAGATATGAGATTCAAAGATGAAGGTTTGGGTAAAGAGGGCAAGAAAATGATCTAGAAGCAGGAAAGAACAGTAAGGAGGACACATAAGTCCCAACCAGGCACAATGTTGTTATGAGGCACCCCAGAGAAAAAACTGATACTGCTTTCAAGGGCTACAAGGGAAGCTGTTTTCCCAGAGGAAAGACAGGGCCATGTGGAAATACATGGATTAAGTTTTTGGTTGTCAAAATGACTAAGGATTGGAATGCTGTGGAAGTTCAGTGTCCAAGGAAGAGGGATGCCAAAAGTCCCAAAAGGTAGGGGCAAATGCAAATAGCATTTCCATTAGGAAGCTAAAGGTAGAAAGCACATTGAGAGAAGAGGCTGAGGGTTCTCTTAGTTGGGTTCCTATAGAAAGCAACATTGATTGTAAGTAGTTAATTTGTAGGTGCTGGGGAAACTAGTAAAGGAAGAGGGAAGTGATTCAGGAAAAAGGAGTCAAGCAATGGTACACTATTAAGCCAAGTTCCTCAGTGGGTAACCTTATAGGAACTTAAAATGGAGAAACTTAAGAAGAGAGCAAAGTGCATTCTTCACAATCTCAAGGGTGAAAGAGCCGAAGTAAATAAATACATGCCACCATCTCAGAGTAATTGATTGGGCTGCATATCTGAGGGATATGGGAAAGGCACTGATAGCATCTGTTACCAGGATGTGGTATAAAAGTTTATTTGTAGGATAGATTATGATAGCAGAATGGCAGGGTCTAAGGACAAATACATTTTCAATTTCAATAGACATCTCCAATATGTCCATCACATAGAGTATACTAACTTATATACATACCAGAAGTGTGTGAGTGTTTATTTCTTCATACCCTGCCCCCATTCTATGTTCTAACAGACTCTTTCCTTTTTTGCCAATCTTTTAGTTAAACAAGCGTTCAAGTAGAATTTTCATTTTCATTTATCTTAATTAGGAGTGAGGTTGAGAAGCTTAGCATATACACATATAAAGGCCTTTTTTTATCTCCTTTTCTACAAATTGCATTTTTTTCAGATTATCAGTCTTTTTCTTATTGATCTTTGGAAGATCAACCTTTTATGATATGAGGTTCAGATATTTTTCCAGTTCATTGTGTGTCTTTGGAATTTCCTTATGGAATTCTGTCAGTTTTTCTCCATCTCCACTACTGGACCAGGCTTCCATCAGCTCCTACCTGGACTAGAGCCTTGTCTTCCTACTAAATCTCTGCTTCCACTCCTGCCTCCTCTGTACAAGACACAGTGGCCTTTGTAAAATATGAATCACATCATACTATATCCCTACTCAAAAGACCCCAAGGGCTACCCCTCAGAACATTTAAAGCTAAACCCCACACTCGGGCTGTTATGACTCCACGTGATCCACATCTTGCTTACTTCTCTGAACTAATCTATAGCTCTGTTCAGAGAATGCTCTTCTTTCAGACCCTTGAACAAGCTGAACTTGTTTGCACTTTGCAGCTTTTGTGCCTTGTGCTCAATATTCCTTCTGGCTGGTATCCCCTTCCCCCAAATTCACATGAGTTACTTTCTCCCTCATTTGGCCATCAGCATGCATGCCACCCCATGAGAGAAGCCTCCCCACTCCATCAGCGTCAAAATGGCACACACACCTGTACCCACACCCCCAGTGTCCAGGTCTCCTCTGCCTCTTTGTGTTGTCTTTGTTTTAGTGCTTAGCATAAGGCCTAGAATATAATAGACTCTTAACATTTTATAGAAAAACATTCCTCAGAATAAAAGGATATTGTCTTATATTCAGATTCTTATCAATCTTTCACATTTTAGAGATTTTTCTAAATACTTTATTTTAAACAAATATTATTTGGGGATCACAAACCAAAATAGCCAAAATCATTGCTAGTTTTAAATGTTTATTCAGGTCATTTGAACTGTTTTAAAGGAGGGGAAGAAAAGAAAGCACAATAATGTAAACAGATTTAGTTTTGGGGTTTCTTTGGGGGGGTCAAGACCTTATAATAGTAAGGCTAATCATGTAAAGTTAAAAAACAATGTAGCAAAATGTAAATATTATAAAGATAATGAAAAGAATAAAAACTATCTTAATATTACATAAATAGGTACTTAGAGTTTAAAATAAAAGTTAAGTTGATAGCATCCTATACACATTTAAAGAAAGTTCTCACTTAAATTATTTTGATAAAAGTAAAATTAATATTCTCTGCAAACCATTAGAAAATGGTAAAAACACCCTTATTTTCTCGAGTCTTCCTAAGAAAGACATTTGCCTGAATGATACAGAGAGTTCTGATTAAGAAAACAGACCACTGGGGAGAAGTAGGGAGGGGATGTAGGCGGAGGTTGCCTAGGCTATTCTGGGCAGTCTAGGATGGGATTGGCTGAGAACCTGATTGCCTCCAGAGCCAATGGAAGTAAAAAGAGGGCTGGCTCTCCAGCTCAGAGAGAGAGAGAGAGAGAGCTCTCTGGCTCTTGAGCTGGCTCTCTCTCTCAGGCTCTGGCTCAGGCTCTCAAGTCCACTCTTCCTTGAGGATGCCTAGATGATCCTGCAGCTGCCTGCATTTCCCAATGGGTGGTATTTTGTACGGGAAGGAGTTGCACAGCCCTACCATCAGGCTGACCTGGCAGAGGGTGGCAGGTTTTTCTTTGGGTGTTCTAGAGGGAACAGGCTCTGAGGCAGAAGACTGCCATTCTTCTAAAATTGTGTAGTTTTTGTATATTACGTTGTTTTTAATTAGTAAACTAGCCCTATAGAAACAAGATAACTAAAAAATAACAGAGAAAAAGATAGTAGAACTCAGGGATTAGAGTTTAGCCTTAACTGATATCCTTAAGTAACATGCTTTTGAATAAAGACTTCTTGCCTTTACTGCCAAACCTTTGCCTCTGGAATTGTTGCCTAGATGCAGGCGGCAGGCAGCAGGACCCCAAGTATTGTTTGGTAACATAGAGAAGGAACTTGATTCACAACAGACATATTAAATAAGAAACAAATTTTTGTTTTTGTTAAACTACTAAGATTTGGGGATTTTTTATATTAAACAAAGCATAATCTAGTTTATACTGGCAAATACATGATCTACTGTATAATATAATCTTGAATTACAAAATAAAATCTAAAGGCAGATTCATATGATATAATTATGTCTTTTTATTGTGCCCTATATTCTTATAGGGACAAAGCAATGCATAAAATGATACTTTACATACACACACACACATGCATATATATAAGTTCTATTGTGTGTTTACACATATATGTGTATATATGTAAATCTCAACATGCTGCCCAGGAATATCCTCACCTCTAAGTATAAAATTTAAAAACTATTGCTTATAAAAACTAAAAATAATTCCTTAATTGCATCAATTGTATAAAGTTTATACTAGTTTTTTTAAATTAATTGTAGAGACAGAGAGGAAGGGGAGGAGAAAGACAGAGAGAGAAATATCAATTTGTTGTTCTGCTTATTTGTATATTCACTGGGTGATTCTTGTATGTGCCCAGAGATCAAACCCACAACATTGGTGTTTTGGGACAACACTCTGATCAACTGAGCTACCCAGCCAGGGCAATAATAATTTGTTTTAAAATGTCATAACCATAGTGTTAAAAAATCAATTAATGAATCTTATTTTTTAAATGTCTGCATTTTTAAATCACTTCTCAGTCTTTTGGCTAGTAGCAAGCATAGTATTTGTTCTTATTAGTTTACTATCTGATACATTTCTATATGAGGACATTGTAGTAAATGTATTTTTGGAGCAGGAAGATGGAATAGGATCTTGCTCAGTCCACTTCACGCATTAACCCAGTTTGCAGTACTTCCAGGAATGCGCACCCCTCTTGGGAGATAAAATTCATCATATAAAGAGGAGAATCCATTTGCAGTGATTTGTTACCTTTCCTAGCAGGTGTCCTGTCAAAACCCTCAGCAGAGCCCTGGCCCAGTGTAGAGGTCAGTTGGTTAGAGCGTTGCCTCAAGTGGAACAACAAATAGATGTTTCTCTTTCTCTTCCTTCCTCTCCCTAAAATCAATTTTAAAAGCCTTCATTTTTACAAAAATCACGAAAACCAAAAGATTTTGTTCTAAAACAAGCAAGAAAAGAACATATGTTTTCATCTGAACATGGAATTGGTGGTATTAATTTACCAGATAGAAGTCTTTGTCCACACTGTTAATGTAAATAATCAAATCTCCACTTTTGATGGTGAAACTGTAAATAATGGTGAGATAATGGTGAAACTGTATCATAGAAATATAGTCTTTCATTTTTATAATACTAAACTATATTTTTCATATTCTCATTTTCCTTTTCATATTTTCCTTTTCCAAGTGCTGGCTGGAGATGCCATCCAAACTTCTTGAGGCTCTCTGTGGATGTACCTCTTTCCTCTTCTTGGCACATGTTGCATGGTTATATTCTCCCTCGGAAAACTGGGGATTTGACCAAGTATGCTTAATGAAGAATAATGGCATTGCCTGGAGCAAGGGTAACATAGAGTAAATCCCATCATTCTTGTTTGGATATGTCCAATCCTAGGTTTCCCATATTCTCATTTATTCACCCCTTCTAGACCCATCCAGTGAGGGACACAGGGACCACAGCAGTCTTACCATATTGCAGCAGCATGTGCCATCATATCTTTCTGTATAGCAATTTCATTTTTTGTTTCTCTGATTACAATTTTTGACTCTGTAATTTTGTCTCGGACCAGAATATATTCACTATACTATATAGGCATTCTCTAATTACATATATTGTTATAAGAATGTAAATAATTACCAATAATGTTTTCTAACATTATTTGCTACTTTCTTAAAAAGAAAAATATGTTTTATTGACCAAAATATTCTACAACATTATTGTTTGTTTTAATTATGAAGTTGTTATTGTAAAGATACTCTTTGATCATTGTCATCTAGCTTGGAAATTTTACAGAACTCAATTAATAAGTTAATGTCTCTGACCTAGTTTATAATAATATGGATTAAATCAGCCACTGTTCCAGAAGAGGAACAGCATGGTGTGGTGCTAGATCAATGCCCTCCACTAGAGGCCATTGTCCTGGATTCCCATGCCCTCTGAGTTGCAGTGGGGCCTTAGCATAACATTGAACTTCACCACATAAAATTAAAGCATGGGCATAGTTACATTTATTGGGTAGAACACAGGAGATGGGGCAAGATGATATCTTCAGGCCCCTTCTAACACTACAGCCATTGACTGACTTAGAATCAGGGCCAGTCACATTAAGAATTGAAGGAATCCTACTTTTTGCAATAGCATGGATGGAACTGGAGGCTATTATTCTAAGCAAAATAAGCCAATTGATGAAAGACACATACCATATGATCTCACTTATAGGAGGAATCTAATGAACAAAATAAAGAGCAAAAGAGAAGCAGAGGCATAGAATCATGGAACAGACTGATTACTGTAAGAGGAGAAGGGAGGGGGGAGGTGGAGACTGACTGAAGGAAGGTGAAGGGACTAGTCAAGGAACTTATGTGAAGTACCCATGGACATGGACAACAATGAGGAGACTGATTATGGATGTAGGGGGAGGGCTGGGTGGAGGTAGACAAAGGGAAAAGGAGGGACAATTGTAATAACATAAACAATAAAATATCTTAAAAAGAAGACTGAACTCTAGAAAAAAGAATTGAAAGTTGTAGAAATTACTTGATCTTTTTTGGATGGAGATCTATTTATCCAGAAATAATATGTCTATCTCAAACCCCTCGCTAGATAGAAAAAACATACCCATTCTTCTAAAAAAAAAAAAAAAAGAAAGTATCCAAACTACCAAAAGATCTTTTAAATTATCATTGCTAAATACTATGACTCCAGGAAAGAAAGAAAGAAAGAAAGAAAGAAAGAAAGAAAGAAAGAAAGAAAGAAAGAAAGGCCAATGAGTGAATGTTCTGTGAGTCAAGAGAGCTCTTAAAAGTCATGACTTCATATTTCTTCCTTGCAAATGTAAAAGGATGGCCAAGGGTTTATTCCAAATTTTCCAGCTCCAGGTTGCATGTACTGTGGACTAAAAGGAAAGCAGTAGGTCTGGATTACAGAAGAAAGCTCGTTCAGCACTCTAAAGCATTCTTCCACCCACGTTCTTAAGTCTTCTCTTCCCAAAGCAAATAGAATGACAGCACATTTAGATTTGGAAAAGTACTGATTGATAGAACGCCCTCCCACTAACACTCTGGGATCAGTTGGGATGGAACAGGGGGAGGAAAACACAAACCATCAGCCAGTTCATTAAAAACATTTCTGTTTGAAATCTTTTTGATTTGTGGCTTTTCTTGATGACTTCTCCAGACATCTGCTTTTAGTCCCCTGCAAGTTATTTCAAAGGATAATGAAAGGTGGGTAAAAAAGATTTTTCATGCTCTATGGAGAAAAGAAAGTATAGATTATTTTTGTCCTTGCTTTGATCATTCTTTCCATGACTCTCCAGGAAGCTTCATAAACTATTACTGAGATCAAAACATAATTCCTGTTATCACTCTGAATGACTGTCTGTCTGACTGAATGTGCAGAAGTTTCTTTCCATGGGCCTGATCTGGAGCACAGTTTTTAGAAGAATATAGCATAGACCTCCTATAACCCTGTTCATTAAAAACTCTGATTTGTCACTGACAAGGGTTCCTTGGATTCTCAGCATATATAACAGCTGTGAAGTAAGACTCATGTCATTTCTTTCTATGTAGCTTTAGACATGTCCTTGTTGTCCCTAATGATCCAATTTTCTCTACTTTTGTTGTCCCCCATTTCTCCCCACTGGAGAAAATAATGTCCTCCTGCTGGACCAGGCTGACCCCAGTTCTCTAGCAGAGCCTAATCGGGTCAGGAGATCAGAGCAATTTTGTTCACATGACCTATCAAAAGAGCCTAGAACTACTGTGTTTTGCTGTGTATAATGTGCACCCATGTTTTAATACTACCCATGTACTACCCATGCACATCCTTATTTTTCCCTAAAAAATTTGGGTAAAAAAAGTGTGCATTATACTTAGCAAAATATATTCTTCTTTCTTTGCAATTGTCATGGAAGTTGAAATCTCTTGGATTGGAGCATAACACATTGTGTGGCAGGTGGGTTTTTCCCCCCTCTATACATTATTAGTCTGGCCATGAATTTGCTTTGCTTTCCTTGCTGGACTTGAAATACTCCCCGAACTGAAACTTACCTGGCTGACCCCAACTCCTTGTCTGATTAGCACCAAGTTTTTTTCCATGGATCCTGGCTTGCTATGAGAGAGTGATAATCAACATCAGATATGGATTCTTTTTGTTATTCTCTGCCTAACTGATGAGGATCCTTCTTTACCCAGCCTTATATCTAAATAATGTGATTTGATCTTATAGACTCTGGTAGCTGAGAGATGTAAAAGTTGTTACTCTGACATTGGAATTTTATTTCCACAGTACAACTCCAATACTACTGAGTTTCTTCCCATCTACTAAAAGTATTTTTCTATCGACACAACTTTTAATTCTCCTTCTCTTCCTAGAAATCATTTCCTTTCTAGCATCTTCCCCAGATCATTCCTTCTACCCTATTCAGAAAGCTTCATTTTCTCTAATACACCAAATCCTAGAAAATAATTCATTGCTGTGATGTTTCATTTTAACCTTCACCTTTTTAATGGAGATTAGATTACTCAGAACACAGAACATACAGTTGATGATAATTTCAGGCAAAAATATAATTATAGCACATCTAGGGCCTTGGAAAAGTTTTGTCCCTACTTCCTGTGTTTGCAGTCAACTAGAAACTTCTGTGATTGTGCCAATGAATGGCCAGACAACTTTTATATTTTCATCTTGGCCACTAAGAGCTCTTGTTAATATTGTATTGAAATCTGTCTGGCTTTGGTCTTCCTCTCAAGCTGCCAATCTGACATATATGAATAATTTTTACCTTACGAATGTCCCTGTTTCCCTTGTGGGTGTTTGCCATCCTATTAAACACAGTCTATAGCTGCTCTCCTAAAGTTTTTAGTCATCCTTATCCTTGGATTTCCTTCATCTCTCATCTAAAGTGAATTCCCAGTTTGCTTGACCCTAGTCTTCCTCTTTTTTTTTAAAGTATATTCTCTGTGAGTTGTCTCAGAAAGGCTTTGTGAGAGTATATCAGGATTCAGCCAGAAAAAAAAAAAAAAAAAAACCAGAACCAATAAGAAATACACACTAAAAGACTTATTTTAAGGATTTGGCTAGTGTGATTGTGGGAGCTGATGGGCAGAGGGTGGTAGGCTGTCAGGAAAGGCAGGTTGGAAGTCTCAGACACAGGCTGAAGCTGCAGTCCACAGATGGAATTCTTTTTTTCTCCCAGGAAATCTCAGTTCTGCTCTTAAAGTCTTTGAACTGATTGGATCAGGCCTATGCAGCATATCTAAAATAATCTCTTTTACTTAAATTTGATTATCAAGTCTGTTTTCTCTATTCTTTCTTGAGATCCTAAAAGTTATCTAAAAGTCTACAAGAAAAGCTTCATGAGCCACCCTTAGTCAATGAATGTGTACCTCAGGTGACTTAAATACAGTATAATATCTCTTCTTAGATACTGTTGAATACATTTCTATAAACCTTTATTTTTGGCTCTCCTTTTCCTAGCCTTGGTTTGAATTACTGTGCTTCTGTTAACACATTCCATTCTTTCTATAGATAATAAGTGGATATAATGGAGTTATTGCTTTTCTTATTTACATTGGGTTCCTTGCCTGGATTTTGATTTCCTCAGGGGAAAAAAAAAGACCTTATGAATGCGGAACTTCTACAGCTTGCTACTTTTATCTATAGTAGCTCCTCCTTATCTGTGAGGTTTATTATGTT